GGACACTGCTTCAGACGTTCTTCAGCAACGATTTCAGTAAACGCAGGAGGTGACATATTAACCTTGAAGCGCCATGGAGGATGGCAATCCAGTACCGTGGCAGAAGAATACGTCGGGGACTGTATTAAAAATAAAATGTATGTTGCCAGTAAAATCGTCAACTCTATTGAAAAACCACCACCGAATATGAATAATCAACCTTCAACGCCAACTTCTACAATCATAATAACAGAAAATTTACTCAAAAACAATTACTTTCCTGGTTTGACCATAGAAAATTCTAAGAATTTCACAATTAACTATAATTTTAAATGAATAATTCAACTGTTGAGAGGTAGGATACTTAAATGTTATATTAGTTCTGCAATATAACCATAAAAATAAATATTGAGTTTCAATATTCTTTTGATATGTGCAGTTGTAGAAAAAGTATAGTGTGCAACACGTGGGGAAAAGTACTTTCTTCACTCGTGTGTGTGTTCACTTTTACCACTTGTTGCACAATATACTATTTTCAGTGGTAACGTAAGTTATTAGTACCTGATATTTGTTAATTGTTTTTGTAGCTGTTCAATTTCATTGTTCGTTAAAAATGATTACTCAGTAATTATCCTAATTTCACGAGTCAAAATTTGGGCCCACCAAAAATTTCGAACACGGGTTCAAAACGCAATATGGTCTATCCCGTTAGAACATTGTCGATGAGAAGTTATGAAATTTACGGAAGGTCAGAATGTCGAGTATGAGCAAAGTGTATAACTTCGTCTTCAGCAAGTTCAGGATGTATGTGCAGCTGATGCGCAGTACTATTTTCATTGCATGAGAGTTCTACACCATGTCACAAAATCAACTCTAACGGACAAACGAGGCAGTGATGATTTTTTACCTAAAGAACTGTGATGAGGAATGTCAATTTACCATTGAGGAATTGATAGACCAACTTGATGGCGACTTTCGACCTCACCCATCTACTGTCAGGAGGCTACTTCTTCAAACGTTTGCCGACGATATTATTGTCACATCAAGAATACATTATGTGGTTTGTTTCGATGCCAGCGGACCAAAGATGATTACCGACAACTGATTTCGAGAGGTGGAGAAATTAGCATAAAAAGAGGAAAGGCGCCTCAAAGTCAAAGCAGCCGCTGTCATAGTTGTTGAAGATATTAGATGTCAAGTAAATGACATAATGACTGAATATCATCCCTCCACCGATACATTTCTAGATGGGGTCGAAGATGTTATTCTTGAGACACTTCGAGTGTTTATCGAGACTTTGGTACTATACAAGAAGCGCGGGAATCTTTAGCCATGGAAGGAAGAAGAGGTAGCGATTGCACAAATCTTGATCAGTGCAGTGAGGCCAATATCGCTCCTCTCCCCTCTTGAAGTAGGGTTGGTAGCCTTCTTATACAAAAAATACGGGTCGCAAGAATTCATTGATGTCCTGTCATCCGTGTTACCAGTATGGGCGATTTCTCACCAATAAGCTATCTCTGAGCCCATTTCGACGACCAAAAATAGAACTTGACGGCAGGCGACTTATTAGGCTACTCCAATTAACAACTTGGACGAATTCGGCTATTGGTAGTGAGTACAAATTCAATGACTTGGTGGCTTCACACTCTAAGTATATTCAAGTCTTCTACAGAGCGAGATCCTTTTGACGTTAGCAGGTGTTTTGTTTATATTATGGTTCTATATGGCTACGAAAATGGTTTCATTTGTTATGTGCTTCAGTGACTTTTAATGTTGACAGGTTGTTGACACTGTTGAACAGTTCGAAGATCTGTTATCATTATTAATATTTGTTATTATGTTATTACATGATTGAAGGTGCATAGGTTTAATAGGGTGCATAATTTTATATTATGACAACAAATAAAATATTAAAATATAATCATATAAAGAAGAGTGCTATTGCCCTTGATGAAACAGTGTAGTAGGGAGCTTGGGAGCCGTTACACTACAACACAACAGAGAAATTATGCTCTAGAGTTAGCCAAAATTCAGATCAATGACTCGAAGACAGCACTACCTCACGATGACAAAATTTGTTTACCACTGCCACTGTTGATGTGGCTTCACAGTAAATCTAGACATTCCTGAAATTGACGGATGGAACGGATTCTTGTAGGAGGTGACCTGAGACATATCCTACGAAACAACTATTATAGACAGCCAGCCTTTTATCAATGCATCTCCAAGTGATCTCCAACTAAATGTGAGTATCTGTTAACTGATGCTGAGCAGAATACACAATCCTGTGGTCCTGGACGAAAAACTAAGATTCCAACGTTGAACAGATTTAATATAGTGAAGAATTAATCAATGAAGGCATATGAAGATATATGAGGAAAGGAAATTGAGCAAACATCTTACCAATCTGAGAGAGTTGTGGGTTCAATATTTTGAAATGATAACTTTGGTGTTAAAATGCATTGAACCTGAAAGGATGGCCAACTCCATCTTCAAGCGGTCCTGCGGAACACTTCATGTCGCCAGAAGAATTCCAAACATTCACTGAGCAAGGAGGTTTTACTATCCGCCGTAGCTAGAAATGCTGGTGCGGAACCTGGAGTGTGCATCGAGTAGCAGCTCATGAAGTATATGACGGTTAACAGGGGACTGACTAGAGCTGGCGGGTTCACTGGGGGCATCTGAATAGTGATGTCTTCAATAAAAACGTGTAAAACATTGTCTCCCAAAACAGGAGGGCCACGGATGGCAGTAGGATTACTAGAATACTCGCCGCTTGAAGGTAAGGTTGAGTTTATACAGATTCTTGAACTTAATTTTTAGTTGTATCCCTTGTTTTTGGTGGTTAACCTTGAAGTTGAATATGTGATTGAAAATAGGACTGATTGTCCAATTTCTTAATGGGCAATTCTAATTATTTGTATTTCTTTAAGCGACCTTGAAGGTTTCACCCCAAGTTAGGATATTCAGAATATCCTGAAGTCTCAAACAACTTAGATATCAGTGGTATTGGACCATCTCCACCAAAGTGTCTAATCCAGTTCGTGACGAAAATGCTCAACAACTTTTTGAAAACCCTACAACTTCCACAGCTTGTAATCAAACTCTTCTAGAGTTGACACCACGAAGAAATTGTGGCATCCACTAAGGTGTATCATATATTTTTGGATAGTAGTAAACTTTCTGATGTGGATTTTAGGTCTAGACGTAAACATTAATGTGTCTATCAATTTGTTCATTGTAGGAAACATTAAAGACTTAATAGCACTGGATTTGGAAGATGGTGCGATAGAGGAGCCGTCAAATGAAGTTGGTTGAGTGTTTCCTTACAGTTCTCACTGGTTCATGTTTTGGAACGGAGTACGTTTCAATCATCAGCTCCAGCTGACTCTCAGTATTTATTGCAGCAAAAAAGAGATTGAAGTAAATTTCAAGGAAGAGTTACACATCACATGTGCATTTGACTTAAAACAGGTTTCACTTCTCTCTTATCAACAAAAAAGATGTTTTATTTGCGTCAGCCTGCGACATATAATCCAACCCCAGAAAAATAATCGAATCCGAATTTTAAAGCTAAATCATATAAATCTTTTATGTGTTTTGTTTTGTTGGAACTTGTTTCCTAAAAGTACACATATTAGTTTCTACAAGCATTTTTTCAAACATTGTATTTGTTTCTGTACTAAACAAACAAAATAAATGAGTGCTTATACATTATAGCTTAACGTCAAATCAAAGCACATATTCAGAAAATGATATCAGTTTGTGAATAGTGACCACACAAGTTGTGCAGAAGATGATCTGCAAGACAATTTTTATGTATGCAAATATAAGTGTATTGCATCATTTCAGCAGACATTGCAATAAGTTGTATCAAATAACACATGTAGGGCCGTGATAAAGGGATTTTGTAATTGCAAACAATCTGCATTAGGTCACAGCTCTTCTGATTTTCATTTGGAATGCTTGAAAATATCAGCTCATGTCAGCCACGTCAGTAGGGTTTAGGGTCCGTCCAATATAGAATAGAAGTTCCCACAAGGTAATGATGGTGGGATGAAATGGAGATCAAATTTCCTTACTTCGTCAAAATGCAAAAATTGTGCTACCCAACTGAAAAGCATATCAGCAGAGGAAAATGTTTTTTGAAAAATGTATGGATGTTGAATAAACCCTTTACCACTGCTGCTATGATGTTCGGAAAGAAAAATAAAACCAAAAATACTGCTATTAATTTTTAGAGAGTAATCAAAAATTGATAGAAGCTGGGCTCATGTGTACAACAAGAAATATCCGTATTTTAAGACACTAACTTGAGTAAAACTAAGATCAGAATTTTATTTTTCTAGAAAAGGTGGACAACAAATTTTGTATGGAGTAAAATCGTCCATATTTGTTTCCAATGAGGATGTCTCTTATAATCTCCAGTTAACAAAGCAAATACTTGATTATCGTTGAGGATATCAAAACAAAGAAATAATATTCTTATTGCAATTGTTGTACACCAGAAATGTTTGCAATGCGAACTGTGAGAGACCTTTCACCTATCGATTTTGATTGATTTTTATAATAATTGTCAATGTTTCCATCAGTTCATTGATTATGATTTTCTTGTGAAGTATTCATTTGCATAAAAAAAATATTCCATTTGTAGTATACAAACTAGTTTTTCACAAAACATGCATTATGATTTATGATATATGTATACAATGACTAAAATTCACCAAGTTTCTCAAAAACATGTAAACTTAAATATGAATCAGTGTATTCATTATTCAAACATCTTATTTCACCATATGTTAGTAAACTCCTATTCTTGTTATGAATGTCTTGATGTTTGAATTCTGGAACACAGTCGACTTCACTATTAAATAACTTCAGCTCGATGGCAATTTCTGAATCACAAATTTCTGCAGATTACATATAATTTTTTTAGTATTTACAGACAAAAAAACAAGAAACTAAACAGTCTTCAAGATTTACCAGAAAGGTAGCAATACTGAAGATGTTTGAAATGAGGAAATCAAAAGAATAGGGCATTTATTCACAAGATTCTATTAGCACATTATCCTGCCTATAGCTCTTTCAACATGAATCCTGGCTTTGGTCATCTTTTTTGTCATTAACTCTTCCTCATCAGTTAGTCTTGGTCTTCTCATTAAAAGTGGTGGTGTGTAGAGCTTAATACTTAATTCATTGCAAATATTGAATCAAAAGCTATCTGTCAGTCTCCTGTGAAATATTTCTGATATCTGACTTTTCAAATGGTTCCTTATCAGAAATGGGTTCTTCATGTCCTTCTCTGGTATATGTTATTGCACCTGATGGGCAGATTCCAACCGAAAACTCCACTGTATTGTAGTGTCTATATCTTGAGACGGTATTACCATGCTGCTGAATATCAGATGGCATCTGCAAAGAAATTTCTGTTGCATCAATCACCATAGATACGGAATTTTCTTCAAAATTCTTGAAACAGTAGGGAGTTTTCCTCACATTCATCCCACTTCTAAATAAATCTTCTTTGATGGTTTCGTAAAAGATAAATTGTAGCCAAGTATAAAAAATGATTAAAATGTGGATTCTACTAATATCTGCCTGGTTAGACATTTCATCCATAGTGGATCCTCTATGAAGTCTATTAATTAGTGTAAGATACAATCTCTTATCAGTCGACCTGCATTTATTTCTGTTGTACCTCATTTGTGTTTTTGTGTGTGTATGCATACAAATACAATACAAAATACAAGTATAAGAAATTGGTGAAAAATCGTTTTAATTCACCCACTTATTTTCAATATCAATCCAACAATGACATTTTTATTTTTCATGAAAATTGTTAAAACCGCTAGGGACAAAAACCACAAACGAACCCACAGTTGACAAGACGCTCACAAAACGTATCAAAAAATTCCGATTGGCCAAATTCATGGATTATTTTCTTTTTCTTTTTCGTTATATTTGAAGTTCTTGAGATTCAAGTATAGTCGACTTTTTTCATTTCAACGTAATTCCCTGATACCAACATGAATATCAACCAATCAGAAGATATCATACAAAAATTCTAATTATTGTGAATAAAACTGAATTATATGAGACGGTTATACATATTTTTTCAGATGGAGGCCCCATTACCTGCAGACAAGCAAACGAGCAAACGCGGATGCGGATACACTGATTATACGGACGGCTGAATCATTTCCTTCAAATAATCAAATAATCAAACTGCGACTGTGAGGAACGATCTAGATCTGCTGGTGATTATAATGGGTCTCAACACTTCTCCTAGGAACGATCTAGATCTGCTGGTGATTATGATGGGTCTCAACACTTCTCCTAACGTCTATCTGGAGCAAGGGAAATGGAAAAAGCGTCAGTTGCTGTACCAACAGCAGTCTGCAGTGAAACAAAATCTAGCCAAACATATGATGTTTCTGCACGCGATAAGTGGATGCAACTCCACGTCATCTGTATATAATCAAGGCAAGACTAAATTCATGAAAACCCTTAAACAACCAGAGCTTCAAGAGACCGTTGGGAAATTCTTGGATCCGTCAGCCCAGCAAATAGCATCTGCTGTTGAAGAAGAATAATTTTTGGTTGCCCTGTACTGGGCTAACCATGTAACAACTAGCTTGAATGCGTTAAGCTACAAGCAGTAGGTGACATCTACCATCAAATTCTTCAGCAACATTGCATCCTTCCCTCCCACCCTTGCTGCAGCTTACCAGCATAGCTTGCGTGTTTATCTACAAGTGTAGCAGTGAATCGGCAACATTCTGTATCAGAATCTGTGAGGTTGGAAGTCAACCAAAAATGGTGTGATCTCACTCAATACCCTGATACCTGGGGTTCCTGGCAAACTAATGAATCAAATTTCATGAAAATGCCGCACCAACTGTGGTAGGCGTTGTGGATGCAGGCGCGTAGGTCTGTTTGCTCCCAAGTTTGCATAAACTGTGCCGATACCTGCACGGACATAGCGAGGCAGATGTAAATTCAAAAAGTTATTTTATTTATGCTTTATTCAACAGCTTATTAGCTTGATCGCGATCGCATAACTTTCAGTTGAATCAGAGCCATCACTGTCTGCCACTCGTAGTGTTGAACAGCTTGAGCCGGAACCATCATCGTTCATTGAACACCGTACGCTCTGACCTTCCACAGCCCTAGTCCCAAAAGAAGGCAAGTAAAATAAAATAGACATTGCTATCACATATTCTCATAGCATCTTCACACTTTACTGCAACTTACTTGATGATTTTTCCTCCAATATCCTAAAGTTCAATTGAGGGTTCTGAAGGGGGTTTGAGAGAAAGAGAGTTTGAGAGGAAGGGGGGGGGGTTCATATCGACAGGTGCAGACTCATTATTATTGGTCCCATTCATATTTGTTAAAATAAGCATTTTCAGGGAAAATGGAGAAATAGTCATTATATGCGTCGTATATATGGATCCAAATTCGAAATTTTGGTGCACACTGAACTCGAAATTTGATGCTTTACAACTTTTAATTCACCAGTTTTTTCAGTAGAGTGCTATTTTTCCATCATCCTTCAACAGTGAGTATATTGTGGTTTCAACAATTTGTGAAATTGTGAAAAGTTCTGGACACACAAGAGAGCACCCATGAAGGGCGTGGAGCTTGAATTCAGATGCACATCCATATGGCTGTACACCTTTCATGACAAGAGGCCATTAAGATAGGAAGAAGAATTTTTCAGCTGGAACAAGGTTGACATAAAATCATATGGAATGACGAAGGTAGAAAATAAAGGTGAGATATTGATACAGACTCTAAAGTGAATGTACATTTTCCATATTAACCGTCGAGTCAAGTTAGCAAGACAGACATTGTGTAATAGCTGTGGTAATAGTGTAGCTGATGCCAATGAATTTTTGAAAGACATGAAATTAATTCAATTTCAAGAAGTTGAGCCAACATTCAGGTTATCAGAATCATAGATATAGTACTTGGTATTGTGAATTTAAGAACTAGCATTGAAAAAATGTGGAAACCATTTTTTAATAAAGCTGTATCATATCTCAGAAATTGCAAGTTGGAAAATGGTACTTTGTTGGAAAATGGTACTTTCTTGACTTCAACACCAAGAAAAACTCCCTTTTGGTTTTATTGTTTCAATGACTATACTTGATTGATACGTAAAACCTGGCGACATCACTTAGTTCAATCAATCGGTACATCCGTAGATGCAAAAAGTCGAGTAGTTCTGATCTTTCGGTATGTTGTCTATAGGTTACGGTTCGACGGGATTAACTATCTATTGACATATAAATACATACAGAATTTTTCTATTGCAGTCTAAGGTAAACTGTGTTGTTATATTAGGTTGAATGAACATATTTATTCTGAAAATATGTTATTTATATTGATACACTCCCAAAAATTTAAAGCACTAACAAAAAGTATCCAAAAGTTCGAGATACATTTTCGTCGAAACTACTAGTCCGATTTGGACGATTTTTGTTTTGAATGATAGGTTAGTTTCTTGTGAATATTGGCGTGTAAATTGTATTCGCATAAAAATCTCTTTTTCATGAATACCGGGTGTAGCAATTATAGCATGGTTTTTTTCATGGAATTTGTAATACCCTGTGGAGTGTAACAATTACGTTATCAAGTTTGAATTGAAAGTACATTTTAGCCTTATATTTATTCAATATTCATTTTTGGGTTTGCTCCATTATCTTTCCTATTTCTCCAGAAACACAATTTTATATCATAACATGATTTTATTGAATTCAATTGGCATTATAAGCACGAAAGTAGCAGACTATGGTCTGGAAAGGCATGGAGCTTGTGTTTATAATTGAAAGCCTTACAGCTGGAAATTACATATTGGTGATTTTAGAATCACAAATAATGTACGTATTTTTGTTGATGCAACATAATGCCAGGCATCACGTCGCCCGAGTTGTGAGAAATTATCTAGAGGAAGTCTGTATCGCTTCCATGGCCTGACCAGCTCGGAGCCCTGATTTAAATTCCATTGAGAATCACTGGGACATTCTTGGGACAAGATTACAAGACGAACGTAACTTGAGTACTTTGGAAAACGCACGGCAGACTGGATCCAAATTTGGGAAGACCTGGACCAATATGATAATAGGTCTCACATTTTGGGTATAGGTCGTCTTTGCCAAGAAGTTATTAGTGCCAGCGGCGGAAATACTCCCTGTTGACTCTTTCATTACGTGTGTATTTTCCTGTTGCTTAATTTGTATATTAATTTTCCCTAAAATCATGTAACGCTATAAAATGGTGTTTCTCGAGTAACAAGAAAGGAGGAATCCAAAAAAGAACTGTTGAAAAAAGATAAGGATGAAGTAGAATTTCAATTTTAACCTTATAGTGTAACTATTACACTCTACAAGATATTACAAATTTCATGAAAAAACACGCTGTAATTGCTACACCCGTTATGTAGAAAAAAAGGTTTTTTTTTTAATCGCATTACCTCGTTGGTCCCAGCACTGGGACCAAACGCCCAATAAGTCGAAACTTGTGCGGGGTTAGGTAAGCAGACAAACACAAACATCCATGGTCTAACTAGGATTCGAACCTATGTCTCGGTGGGAGTCCCCATACGAACTCAGCGCCTTCACGCTCTCGACCACCGAGCCGCCTGCGAATACATTATGCACACCAATGTTCAGAAGGAAATAATCTGTCATTCAAAACGAAAAACGTCCAAATCGGAAAAGTAGTTTTGTCGATTGTTAGCATCTAGCAACTAGATGCGCCACTGCTCAGTGGAATGTGCTTAGATCAGAGCCTATGACGTGTGTAAAGACTGGTTCATATAGTATTCGGCTGATGGCAGCCGAGTGGTGAACAAGTGTAACCCTTGTCCATGTCATTTGTGCTCGTGTTTATTATATTATGACCATAATATAACATCAGAAGTGGTTGAATTCATGCCCCGGTGAAGTGACAAAATGCAATTATTTTTCCGGCGATTTTCACTGCGAAACAGATAGCTGTGGTTGAGGTATTTAGGTATTTATGCGTGATACATTCCCGGCGTTATGCCGTTATGTGATGTTTTATTGAACTGTAAGTACATGACTTCTTTAAAATAAGCAATACCAAAGTACCAACAGTACGAAGGTCCAGTAACAGAGAATTTCGTGTTCGATCCTGAAATCCAGTTTTTTTTGCCACTTGTTTGTCTCGAAAACGCTGATAACGTTGACATTCCGATCAAATATCAGATGATTATTGGTATTGGAATGTACCTACTGAACGTTTGTTGTTACCGTTTTCAATTGTATTGGCGATTACACGATATATATTTTGGAATTTCGTTCGATGAATTTGCAATTTCAGTTTGTGATGATAGTTATGATGTATGTAACATAATTTTTGAATGAATATCTCTGGATATTAGA